TGTTTTTTCTCTGAAGCTCGGTATATACATTTAACTTTAGAGATATGTCATTAAGAAAATTCATTATAGTCCAATTAAATATTAAAGTGATTACATCAATCAAACTGAATATTAAACTACTGAATACTACTTATGTTCAAATAGTTTTATTGTGAAACCTGAGCAGATGACAATAAATGCAGCTGGTATCATTCTCCCGGTATCCCACCCTGCTTTCCTGGTAGAGACACAGATGCAGGGGCATTATGGTTGGGGTGGCATAACAAGAAACTTCAAGTATATAATTCTAATAACAGACATTGTTTCAGGCCTTCTAAAGCATGTCACAGCAAGTAAAACAAGTTATAGCAACTGCTGCAGCAGATGTTGAGATTATCGCGTGGAGGCACACTGACAAAACATGTTGCTGTAATGCATAAAGTTCCAGGTATGAAGTAAATATGTGTGAAAACTATCAGGAACAATTGGTTTTATATCTTTATTTTCCAGACACATCACAGTAAGTTACATAATCAGTTACAATAATGTTATTGTGTGGGAATGGAAAGACTCAGTGAGAGTCACTGTGACACTTAATTATTGCTCTGTACCATTTGATTAATGTTAGCCTTGCAAATTCTTATTGCTCAAGGTGACTGCAAATGGTAGATGGCCCCAAAGAACAGGAGGCTTATGGGAAATGTGGTTTCAATAAAACAAAAACTCTGAAGTTTTGGTGAAACTAACTCAGTAATGATTCACTTACTTAAATCCAAATAATTAAAGTACAACTCCTTCACTGCAGAAACATTGTAGTTCTGCATGGAAAATGCTGTTGCATGACTGTTGCATGACTGATGCATGACTATGACATACAATGACCTTTGACTTCAAGTTGCATTTCAAGTTTTGCCTCATACTTGAGTGCTTTCGATTTCTCATTGTACCATATGTAAATCCATTGGAAACCACACCTTTGTTATATAAGAGGGGGAAACGACAACAGAAATGACTCTGCGTAAACTCTATTGTGTCACCAGTTGCTTGGTAGGATAAGGAGGAGGTGAGCGCCGCTGCGATGTGCAAACAGGGAGGAGAACAGATTTAAAGTATGACAGTAAGGATGTGATTGGCTGAAGGAAAATGAGGCTGAAACTGGTTGGTTAACTGAAGAGTAACCACCCGTAGTCGAGTAGAGAAAGAAAAAAAGAGAATTGTGAATGATTGAAAGCAAGGTCTTTCTGATTGAACTCACTCTGAGCTTCATATAAAAATGTAATTTTCAGGTATAATATCTCTCTATCCTGTGACATTCACACAGTCACTACATCTTATGACAACATGGTGTGTGAAATGTCCAATGTAAGCTTGTTTTATTAGGTTGATGGAGGAAATATTGTATTAGAGAATGTGATGTTTTTTCTCTGAAGCTCGGTATATACATTTAACTTTAGAGATATGTCATTAAGAAAATTCATTATAGTCCAATTAAATATTACACGTTCACTATGTAGTCTGTTAGCATGCCAGGGTGTGCTAATTAGCAGTCATTTAAGTACAGCTGGGGCTGATGGGTCATTAGTTTTGCATATTTCCATTTCGACCTTACACTGTCAGCATGGCTAACATCATTCGGATAGGCCTGCCCACAGAAATGGACGGGCCCCTGAAAGAAGGTCTTTTTACAGTTAGGGTTAGGGTTAGGGCTCATGCAAGTTTAATCTGGCAACTTGATTTGATTTACCAGCTGTTATAAAACTTCTTCCACGGTACCTTGTGTTTCTGTAAGCATTATTTGGACTTGTGTGTCTTTGTTGTTCTGAACACCTCATTACCTGTAGAGAAACTCCTCATGTTACTCATGCTGATGGTAGTGAGCCAGCGGCTTTGTGTTTGCCTCAAAAGGTATTCTAATTATTTGACAATGATAATCAGCCTCACACTGAAACCTTTTGCTGTTAACATATGAAACCCCTGTTACTCCAGGCCACAACTTCCTTAATAATTATTAGGACTTTATTCTTCTTTTCTTTTCAGGCCACTTTTTAATTTCCTGATGAGCAGCCATCAGTATTTGAATGTATAGAAATAGAAGACCATTTACATTTCAGAAAGAAGAACTGTTTTCTACAATTACTTTACAGTTTTAGTTACTAGTTACTTTAGTTGACAGTTTTAGTTGCTAGTTACTTCATGAATGAATATTATTTGCGTAGAAATCACACAAAGAGCTTATAAAATATGCTGCTCTGTTATAAAATGAATGCCCCAACAGTATGTACAAGTAAAGATGAAACAGTCGATTGGTAGAAAATTAATTGGAAACTATTTATGTAAATAAAATTCATCTAACTTGCTGCGTATGACTCCTGGAATTGAGGACATATTCAAACACTCCTTTTTATATCAGTATAAAATGAAATATTTAGAAGGAAATAAAACAGCTTTAAGCAGCTGATAATATTCAGTATGTCGTGAGAGCCACTGGGCCGAGTGATTCATATACCACCAGGAAACACATTCACATAAACCTTTTAGTTTCATCTGGTTTCCAGTATCCAGAGTGCCACATTTTTAGCTGCACAACAACACATTTCTTTTTCACTCTGAAGCTTTTGTCATCTTTCTAAGAAGGCAGGCGGAGGTTGGAGTGACTAATTACAGTGTGTGAGATCAACCACATTAAAGGAAGGCAGCATAACAACTGTAGGGGAATTCAGTAAGATGTCAGGATGTAACAAGCAGGACCAGGATGGCCCCCAGTGCTTTACACCCAACTCTTCATCAGTCCTAAAAATACTTGAAAACCTTGTTTGGTACAAAAACATCCTCAGGGGTTTTCAACTACAGCACCTGAGCCCATTCTGAAAATCTGATTTATATTTTCAGATCAAGTCAATTTTATTTTTATAGCACAAAATGATACATTTGTCTCTTATGACTTTACAATCTTTGCAGTATAGAGGACACCCTTTATTCTAGACCCGGTTTGATAAGAAACCTGACTGGATTAGTAGCAGAGCAACAGCTTTCATGCATATAACTACAGCATGGGTGTGACACTCTGCATGATAGCCATCAGGTTAAGTGAACCTGAACTCAACTGTTGAGGCCCTTAAAAAATATCTAACACAAACTGACAGACCTCCTGCTCCCTATTGTGGTCAGGTCTGTTAATAGCAGATAAAAATCACAGTTTGTTTCATCCGTGTTAAATTAAAAACAGGCCATTCAACCATTTACAAACTTACCTCTTATTACATTTTTAAGTACAGATCTTTCATTACAGAATATGTTGAAAATCATCTTTCTTTATCTTGTGTAGGAGTGTTAAAGGTTAAAACAACTTCTCCTCTCATAAAGATTTGAATGATTTGAGAGTAAACATCATGCCGTTTCGAGCACATCTGTAGAAGCCACAACATTTACTTTTTATTTTGTGGAATGTAAAAATATTAACATTCAATATCTCCAAAGGAAACAGACATTAAACACGTACAGCATCACAGAGCAGGTCACTGTAGGGAGGAAAACTGAGCCAGACTATTGCTTTCTCTGCTCTTTCAATGACCCAACTCTGAAGTGAAGTTTTAAGGACCAGCCACTTGCAAAAGTGACAAAAACTCTGGTGTTACCATTTGGCTAGAAAATGACTTTTGGAAGGGACTGGCTGTCAGTTTAAGCTGCAATAAAACTGTAGCTGATTGATCCATGTAGTGAAAGTGGTGAGTGAACTTTGGGACCGGCGGACAGAAAGATTTCCCCTTCCTGTTGGTGATGAAAAAAAAAAAAAAAAACTTTACCACCAGGTTGTTTCTTTCCAGCTCTCAGTCTCTCCCGCTGAACAGTTTTTACGAAGCCAAAGAAACATCGACACTAATCAAGGATGTGACATTGAACTGCTAAAAAAAAAACACATGACAGAAATCATCCGTTCGCCATCAGTGGGTGTTTGTCCCAAAACAGAATTAATAAAAAAAACAAGAAAACACACCCCTGACCAATAATAATCCACTTGAACTCTACCTACAACCTTTTTGACCTTTTCCCTGCCTGTCTCACTCTGTAAGGAGCTTCTGTCCGCTCTGCTGCGTCTCACTCGTACTCGGCGATCAGCACCATCATGCCCACTCCGAACAGCAGCGCCAGGATCTCCATTAGAGACTGGCCGAAACTGCAGCGGCCCGCCAGCAGTTCTGGGAGCACGGTCACTGTGGCGATGTAAACGAACCCGCCGGCTGTGAAAGGCAGGATCCAGGCGGTCGCCGCGGCGCCCACGCCCTCGGCCAATAGGGAGCAAGCTGTGCCCGCCAGAGCTCCCAGGGCTGTCAGCAGCTGTAGACACATGGCCTGATGGGAAGGAGGAGGAGGAGGGTTACTGCAGTCTTAATGTTAATATTTCTCCGTACCTTCATTTATTTAGACAGTGTTTCTACATTAGGAATAAAAGGGCAAATAACGAAACATAAAAAGGAAACGGAATTCATGAGATTTAGCTTCTTTCTTTCTTTCTGAATCTTTCAGGCAATTTTACAGTTTTATTAGAACAACATTTCTTAAATAACTCATTCTGTCATCATACTGAGTTTTAGCATTGACAGTAAGATTCAAGGATTTTGGGGCTTTATAAGAATATCAAGGAGCTGGATGGTTGTAGAGTGTAGTTACCAATCAGACCACAATGCTGTGCAGTGATTTATAATGAAGGTGGAGCAAAGTCTGTATAATGATGAATGTGGCTTTAGTTTAGGTCATCGACTACTGGCTTAATGGATCAGGACACAATGAGTGGGGATATGGACAGTCTGTACAGCACACAATAACCATCTAACCTGTATGTGTGTTTATACAGCTGCTGTTGATCACTATGTAATACCTTCGTGCTTGTTTATGCTTGTATTGCTTGATATCTTTGTTAAGCTCTATGTATGTACCATTTCTGCTCCTTCTGGTTTGTTGAGCACAGTGTGTAAGTCACTTATATTTCTATTTAGGTGTCAGAATATTGGTCCAATAAACTCCTTTAGGGTTTAATACTTTGACATTTCTGATTATCTGACATTTTCTATTCTTCTATTTGACTCCGAGTAGGCAGGTACCTTTTTTTTGGTGCAGCCAGACTGCACAAGGATGGCAAAGTCTCCGATCTCGTGTGGGACCTCGTGCAGCAGGATGGTGACGGTGGTGACGGCGCCAACTGTTGGACCAACCAGGAACGACGCTCCGATTGCCAGGCCGTCAGTAAAATTATGAGTGAAGTCAGCAGCCAGATTCAGGTAACCCGACACCTTGATGTCTGCGTTGAGAGAATGGGGGATAAATGGCGTTAACACTGGGTCAAGTCGTTTTCTGATAGATGGAGGTCACAATGTTCTGATCATAAAGATTTCCAGGATGCCAGCAGCACATAAGTGCACCAGAAGAACAACACACATCATTTTATTGTGTTACACAAAATATATTAGTTACTTTTGGTGCATCCAACAACTGTTTTTACCTTACTTTTGAAGTTCAAGTAGTTGTTTCAACAAACTGTCATTAATAATGCTGCTGAAACTATAGTTACATAACTCAGATACCTCTTTTCATTCAGTTTCAGACCAGTAATAACATAAACATCATAAACATCACGTTGTTCGTCTGCAACACTGTTTACCGGGTCCCTAAGTCATTATTAAAATCTGAATAAATGTACCTAAATAACTAAATAAGTATTTATTTTGTGCGTCACTGTTGAAGAACACAAATAGTTATATAGGAGCTTTGCCTTAATAAAATACATCACAAAACACCAAGCTGCACAATCCTCCAGATCTCCAAAATCTATTAGTCCAGTGTTCGATCCAAACCAGGAGCTTTGCATTTCTTTAAGGGTTTTTAAGTCTTCATATCTAACACAATCATAAAACCACACTGCAGTTCAGTGACTGACCAGCAGAGGGAGCTGTTGAGTGCATCTACCTTTGTTTACACCATATTGCTCACCTGTGCTCTTCTTCTCCTCTTTCTTTGGCACCTTCTCGTCTTTGCTTCCTTTCTCCTCTTTCTTCTTCTTTTCCTTCTCTTCTTCTCCATCACTGTCCTTTTCCTTGGGAGCGTCTGAAAGTGTTACATAAACTAAATGTTACTAAAGCGACTAAGATTGTGTTTGAGGATGAACATTTTTATCAAACAAAAATATTCTGTCAGGAGACTTTCCGGCGGCGTACCATGTGAGTGTCCGTGGGAGTGTCCGTGTCCGTGCCCGCCCTTCAGCAGACGCACAAATTTCTCTACAACCAGGAAGGCGATGATCCCGCCGAGGACCCACAGACCCACTGACATCATGTGACCGTGGGCAGCTCCTGTGCAGGAAGAGGAGAAGGGGAACTGTTTGGAACTGTGATACATCTGCTGATGGCACATCTATGTCTGCAAATGTCACCATTTAGAAAGCAGATAAAGGGTTTTGGGGGGTTTGTAGATTTATTTGGTCGATTTTTGCACCTGTCAATGAGAGAAAAGGTAATTACTGCATACCGTGGGAGTGACCGTGCTCATGTGACTCCTCACTTTCGTGGGAGTGTCCGTGATCGTCGCCATGGTGAGAGTGCGGCTCTGTGCAGAACAGATATGAAACAAAAGGAAACGGATGTTAAACTCTAAAAAAAGAGTTACACCTGCATTCTTCCTAATGGCCAGCAGGGGCAGCTCTACAAAGTCTGACAGAACTGAGCCTTATGGATGATTTATTACCTTACCTCCATACAGCTGATACAGATTGTTCTGCATTGCCTATTTCTCATTCAAGATTTCTCAGAAACATATTTCTGTACCGTTTATCTGTAATACAAGAACGCGTAACCAAGCAACCATTGTTTCCTGCTATGGACGAGTTGAAACAGACCTAACGGATCGACTACCTACCCAAAGCGTGTGGTATGAGGTGGAGGAAGGCGTCGCCCAGCAGTCCACCGGAGGCGAAGCTGAGCAGGACCTTGAGCAGGTTCTGGTGCTGGTCGCTGTTGGACTGAACCGGGATCAGAAACAGGATGAGGAAAGGAGCCGCACTGATCAGCAGCGTCGCTCCGATAGCCTGCAGACAGGGAAGGGCCGAGGTTTACAGTTCAACCGGAAGAACTATTCAACAGGAGAGGAACAGGGATGTGTGGAGGAAAGCCTGCTCCTGGGAGGCTTCAGGAGGAGCACAGACCTGATTACTCAGCTCAGATAACAGAGGAAGGCTCAAAGTGACTGTGCACTGCAGTGATACAGCAAATCTAAAGCAGCACACACTGGATCTGTTCAGACGAGATACAGTCTGACAGCGCTTACAGTCCAACACATAAGTGTTAAGCACATAAGTGGGGAAAATAATAATAATAAAAAATACAATAGGTTACAGCAGTAAAGAAAGTGTGGCCTATGACAAGGCAAACACCAGGATACTGATGACTCACTCTAGCAACGGGCCACAATACAAACTCCTCAGAACAAGAAGCACATCGAGTTTTAAAGAAACTCGTGCAACAAGTAGGAAGTGAAAAGCAAAAAGTACAAGTTCAGAGTTCTTCTTCATCAAAGTACGGCTGACCTGAATGTGTTCAAAAATCAAAGCCAGACCACTCGTTGCTTTTTGGTCAACAGGGTAAATTCTCCTCGTGAGAACAGCTGGACTGGAGTTACTGCTGATTGCCCTCCGGTGATAAAGCTGAATAAAGACTAGAGCTGAGCAGAACTCTGCTCAGTTACATCACATTGTAGGTGTTCAAGTGGACTAAATAACACAGTTAGTTTTTAAATGTCTATTTCTTCTACAAAGTACCTAAAGAGACATTATTTTTAAGATCAGTACCACTCTTAAATCTGACAGTTAAATAGACAGACTGTCTGACTCTAAAAAGTAAAACTAGGAACTCTCCTATCCGTCTGTGAACAGACAGAGAAGAGAGTTCTCATCCAACTTTCAGCAAGAAAGCAAATACGAATATTCCCCCAAACGTCAAACAACTCCTTTAAAATGAACCTAAGCAGACTTCTTGATTAAACTGACTGCTTACTACAGCGTGACCCTGAGGAACGCCACCGACAGCGGCTCTCTCTCTCCCAGCTCTGACGGAGATATTCCTTCCTGGCCACATCTAAATCAGGGCATCCCGTTATTCCCGTTATTCCCGTTATTCCCATTCTAACCAATGACCACACCTGCGTCCAGAGCTCCACCACGTCCCTCTTCACCCTCTCCGCTCCGTGAGAGTGTCCGTGTCCACTCTCCTCCTTGTGCACCCGAACAACGTCCTCCTGATGAGCGTGGGCGTGCCCGTGGTCGTGCCCGTGGTCGTGAGCGTGCCCGTGGTCGTGGGCGTGCCCGTGGTCGTGGGCGTGCCTGTGGTCGTGGGCGTGCCCGTGGTCGTGAGCGTGCCCGTGGTCGTGCCCGTGTCCGTGCTCCTCCTCCTCCTGTGCAGGGAGGTTGGCCTCGGCGCTCCACTTGCTCGCTCCGTGGAACATCTTCACCTGCTGGCCTTCTCCGTGGGGGTCGTCTTCTCCGTGGGAGTGGCCGTGGTGATGGTGGCCGTGGTGACCGTGTCCGTGGTGACCGTGTCCGTGTCCGTGTCCATGGTCGCCGTGGGAGTGGCTGTGAGCGACGGTGGAGCGGGGGACTAACAGGAGTAGTGCAGATGTGACCGCCGTCAGTGCCAGCAGACGTACACAGCCCATAGTGTCCCTAAAGAGAGAGAGAGCGGAGAAGAAGAAGTACTTTAGTTTTATCTGTGATTTGAATATTTTATGCACCAGGTCACATTCCTACATGGCAATAAACAAAATTCTGATTCTGATAAATACAAACTCATTGCTGTCTGATGTTCACTCAGTGGCCCTGTTTACACACATATACTCTAATATATAAGTAGATATAATATAATAAAACCAGAACATTCACTTCCAACATGAGCAAATATCTCACATATCTGGGTTTGTTGTTCTTCACTGCGGGCACACAATGACCCCCAGATGTTGAGAATAACTTTATATAACCTTATATATTTACTGCAACCTTTTGATTTGAGGTCATGCCAGGTGAAGATGCAGCTTACATACTGTATACGGATAAAAACACCTGTGCAGTCTGACACACTCACATTAAACCACATTAACAATGAATAGGTGACTTTCTGCAGTTTCATTCATACCACAGATGACCACACAGTCAGATCTGTGTCCCTCCTCCTCCTCCTCCTCTTCATCAGCTCATCATGTTGCATTAAAGAGGCTGAAAGCTGCATCTGAAGCCTGACCCTGTGCAGATGTGCAGAGAACTGCAGATGTGCTGCAGGTTTTAACCATTAAACTGTCTCCGGGTTTGAGCTGCTTTGTGTTTACTCGCCTCACAAATGAAGGTTGTGGACGTGCAGCTTTAAAACCTGCCAGATGTTAACGTCAGGAGCAACAGTAAAAGCTGCACAACATTACATTCGTCTTTATTTCTCCTCCTTCAATCTAACTTGTAAAGAAAGCCCGTTAGCCGGCCCAGCTAACGGGAGCTACCGTGTTGCTGCAGCGGGAGCGACATCACGAAGCGGGAGAAACAATGAAAACACAGACAGTTCGTCCTCACCGGGTTGTGTCAGGTATCAGTGCCTGTCGGGCCGCTGGATAACTCTCCGTCCTGTGTGCGATATGTCCGGTAACCCGCCGATATCTCCGTGTACGTCGATGCTAACCGGGAGAAGACGTGGCATTTACTCAAGTTAACTCTGCGAAATCTCGCGAGAACTCGTTCCAATTCAAAGCGCGGCTTCCTTCTACGCGCCCTCGTCGTCTCTCCTTTCATGTGAATACGCGTTAAATCGTTCAGGACACGATTATAATTACACTTTAATGTCTTTTTTAATGTTTCTACAAACTCTGCCGATCATAAACACCAAAGGAAGTGGATTCGTGAAGCCGTGAAGGAGACACGGGAGGGATGATGAGGGCTGAAGGGAAATATCGCGAGATTAAATCCAGAAGTTTGACTCATCACTTTAGAGCATCCTGGAGGAAAACAGGATGTTTGTTTACAGAAACTGCTGATACATAAATAAATAATAATAATAATGAAAGAGTGTTAGTGTGAAAATATTACAGCTTTAACAACAGCTTCACTAAAAAAGTACTTTGCACGAATAAGTTTTTGTAGAAAACATCCCAATAAATAGTAAAATAATAAAAACATGTTGCAATATAACTGCGTCATTACACAGAGCGGGAGTTGTTTTTGTTGTGATGAAAGAGTCTGTATGAGATGTTCATTTTTAAACTTTTTGATGACATTAAGACATCAGTAGGTAATAAAGAGTGTTTCAGCTGCTCTGAGTGAGGCACAGTGAGCTCTGAGACACCGAGGGAAGCTCTCATTATTATTGTTATTATTATTATTATTATTATTGTTATTATTATTAGTGATAGAAGTAGACATAGTCCTTGCATTGAACATACAGGCCTCCTCATGACTCTGGTGGACCCGCCCACAGTGTGCAGGTTCAGTATTAAAGGCGAAGGTCAATCAGCTGACTGCAGCTCCTGAACTGGAGGCATAAACACAGACTGTATGATACAGTATATTATATTTAAAAACAAGATGAAGACGTTACTCGTGTTGCTCCTCTTCTGTCAGGTTGCATCCGCAGGTAAGATCAGGAACTACTGTTTCAATCAGTCTGTAGTTCCTGTTGCAGTAAAAGCTGTTGTTTTTTTCTGCGCAGAGCGACAAAAGGTTTCACTTTCGGTTTTTAAAGTCGCTCAAATGAGATCCAAAGCGTTATAAAACAACTCACTCACACTTTAAGGCAACAATGTGTAATGTTTGAGTCGAAACTGAGAAACTAACATTCACTGTTGCTAGGAGACAGAGGCTTGAATGTGTTTTTAGGACTTTGTATGACACCCAACTGTCCCTAATATTATTGTGTTATTGTGCCATGGAGTTATCCATCAATAATTAATTAATTATGTTTTATAATGTGGAGACCAACAGGTGTCAATATGTGCACAATCAACAGTGATGTAGCCTATACGTAACATTCATATGTCAGTAAGTAAGCAATGTAATTTAAAGACAGTACAGTGTTGTATTATATTGGGGCAGGAAACATTTTGAGCATGTTTTGGTATTGGAGAGGATATGTCCCCCAATTTATATTATAATAACTGCCTTTGTTGTTGTTTATATTTTGATATGACATAATTAAATCACATAACTATACACATATATAATATATATATAGTATATATAGTAATTTCAACAACTAGGTTTTTGTAATAACTTAATAATAATTGCATAGATACACAGCTGCAAAAGAGCAAATCTCTGGTGTACATGAGCTGAAATAAGACTACAATAATTTTTTTAGACCATTATGTTGAGGGGAATTAATCAATCAACCCCAAAAAGAATATATAAAATGTAATTTAAAAGCTGTCTTTGCCCAACAGTGAGACACTCCCTGAAATATTTCCTCACTGCAACTTCTGGGGTTCCAGACTTTCCCGAGTTTGTGGGTGCTGCGATGGTTAATGAAGTTCAGGTCGGTTACTGTGACAGCAACATCAAGACAGCAGAACCCAAACAGGACTGGATGAAAAAATTAATAAAGGATGACCCACAACACCTGGACTGGTATGCTCTGAAGTGCTCTGGTAATCAGCAGGTCTTCAGAGCCAACATTGACAGCTTGAAGCAACGCTTAAACCAAACTGGAGGTACAGTGTGTTTGTTTTTGTGCACACACACATCCCTGGCTTCTCCAGTGTTTGTTTAAATCCTAATTATTTACATACTTGATTGAAACATACTGAGTTTGGCCACTGCTATTACTTTTGTTCATCTAAAATTAACCACACCTGAAATGCCGGTGGCTTTGTGAAATTATTTTCTTTTGCATGGACCAGTTAAGAAACACCGTCTTCCTTCCTGCCTTTGCCACTCACTTGACTCTCCACCTGCCTTCACATCAACCTGTAATTACACCAATATGCATGTACCTGCACAGGATTTATGCTACACATAATTAGGGCAGCCCGATATGGTAAAAACATCATATTGGAATCATTTTGAAAGATACTGATACACAGTTACATGGGAATGATAATGTTTGCATCAGAAAATAGAATCTTAACAAAAAACCTAATAAAATTGTGAGTAGGGGTTTGTATCAAACACATTTTGGTTGTTTTCTTAAATGGAGAACAAGATTTTTAGAGCAGGGCGCCTCAGCAGCACTACAGTACTTAAGTATAACGCTGACAAACATTTTACCTTTATCAAAAACATTACAGCTCTTGCGGTTTGCCTATTGCTTCTGTGATTTGCATATTGCACATGGCCATATAGCGATTTCGATAATATTCCAATTAACTGTGCAGCCCTACACATAATCCACCACCACCATAATAACTTCTCCTTAAAAAAGCCCAATTACTCCTGGCTGACACTGTCTGTATTCAATGACTCTGGTGCACACAAGAGTGTCATGGACTGGTGGTCTTGCGTCCCAGCATTAATGTCACTCTGCACCCCTAGGATAGTAATCCTGGTTGACTTTGATAGCAAATTCTTGGTGTACCTGCCTGCCAGATTTGTTCTCAGCACAAGGTTCCTCGTTGTACCGTAGCTATTTAGATACCAAATTCTCACATCTCCCTGGATTTGTCACATGTCTCAGAATGTAACATTACCAGTGACTGCCCTTCACAAGTCACCTAAGAGAGAGAGACAGCTATAGTGCTACATTATGGGTTTTCAATAATGGCTGTCTTCGTGGGAACCCCAGTTTAATTTCAGCCTCTAGAGAATTTTATAAACGTTGCTGAAGTCTCTATCTCTATCTCTAACTTTCTCGTAGATGCCCACATTTTACAGAGGATGTACGGCTGTGAGTGGGATGATGAGACTGGAGAGGTTAATGGTTTTAATCAGTATGGTTATGATGGAGAAGACTTCATAGCATTTGACCTGAAGACATTGACATGGATCGCTCCAAAACCTCAGGCTGTCACCACCAAACTGAGGTGGGATGCTGAGAAAGCTAGAATAGAATACAATAAAAACTACTACATCCACAAATGCCCCGACTGGCTGAAGAAGTATGTGCACTATGGGCGGAGCTTTCTCCAGAGAACAGGTAGAATCACATGACCTGATGTACTGTGGTACACTGACTCATTCAAACATTCATGTTCCTTTTTTCTTTCTAGTGCACAGTAACATTCAAATAAAAATGAAACAATATATAGACACATCCTTGTGTCTCAGTGTAAACTCATCTGTTTCTGTCTGACTCTCTCCAGAGCTTCCCTCAGTGCTCTCCTCAAAGACTCCCATCCTCTCCAGTCAGCTGGCCACGCTACATGTTCTACCGCTGACATGCGCTTACACTCATCTGAGAAAGATGGAGAGAGGAGATTCGATGAGGACGTGGACTCCGGAGAGAGGCCGTCTCCAGACCACGATGGATCCTTCCCAGATGAGGGTTGACCTTGAACCTGCATTCAGTCGAACCGGAAGAGACTGGAGGAGGGTACGACTGTGTGTTTCAAGCTCTCCTAGTTTATGGAAGAAACGACATCGTCACCAAACTGGACAAGAGCAGAGATCAGAAGCCAGACTGGGTAAAGACTGGATAAGATATGCGGTCTTGGGGAGTATTGTCTTAATCTGTTAGCTGGAATGGTAAAAACACTGAACACAGGCGTGAACAGTAAAACAGAGCGAAGTTCAAGTAAAACGATTGTTTGTGAAGGTCCATTGTAACCCATGACGCAGCCCCCGATTTGCTGCTGTACTACAGTATAGACATTATCGTGGAAACACATTGGCAACCTGCAACCACATTTAGAGGACGAGATGCGAACATAATATTCTGGAGAGGTCCTCAAAGATAAAGCTGTTTCACGATAATAGTCGTCTTAGAATTAAAATGCTAATGTAGTTAGCAGCCCAGTGCACCAAGAAAGAATTAAGAAACAGTGTGGACTATTTTTAAGGTTTGCTTTTAAATGACCTCCTGAGATTTCTTGGTTCAAAGATCAGAATGAGTGTATCACCTACTGCAACGTTGAGCACAGGAGTTGTCTGCGCGAGTAGTGGAATTTAGTGTGCCCACTTAGACGAACACGTGACTACGATTGTGATTGCAGATCTCATTGGATGATTGACAGCAATTCGCCAACTCGCCAGAATGGGTCCTCAGATATACGAAATTAGAGAAGTAAGACCCCAGAATCACAGTGAAGATCGACAACAGCAGTGCGTGGAGTGAGGTTGCGAACCGAATGGAGTTAAAAACCAAAGTGGAATGCGTGTCTTTGGTTTCC